GATCACACTACCTCTCGCTCACCCGCCTTCCCTCCCACTGCCTGGGCCTTATGCGTCTCCTCCTTCCTGCACTCATCCTTCAAGGCCTCTGTGGGCTGGACCGTGGCCGTCCAGGCGGGATCTGCATCTCTAGGAGGGGCCAGTCCCACACCACTCCCACCCAGTTCTGACTGGGATCGGTGGTGCCTTCCATGGGCAGGCGGCAGGGGCTGCCCCAAGGCTGGGTAGGTGTGTATGAAGAGGGTTGCATGGGAATGGCATCTTCAGGGGCCTGTTTAGGGGAGCAGACACCAAACCCACCAGGGGCCTCAGCTGATCTCTACTTACCCTTGTTTTCCTGGACCTCAGCCTGCCACCTCCTGCTTGCCAGGCAGACTTTCAGAAGGAGGCTCCTGCCACATTCACACACACTCCAAGCCTGGCCAAGGCCTTTCTTTTCAGGCCCCACTTTGCTCCTCTGTCCAGCAGGCATTCCCCTGTGGCCTGTGAGGCAGAATCAAATGCCAGGGAAGGGCTGGAGTGGAGAGGACCAGGCTGGCTCTGCGGACCAAGGGGCCCTCATTGCCCTGTTCCCCCTCTGTACAAAAAGACGGGCACATCAGTCTCTGAAAGGCCCATCTCTTGGAGATATTTTGGCTTGCTGGGTTTTATTTTTCACCTTTAGCAAAATTATTATCAAACAACTTAATGTGGTTGTAGAAAAATTAGAAAACGCATTTCTGTTCTTGGTGGTGCCATGTTCCCTATGCCATCTCCTTTGCTGGAATACACTTGTGTGCACACGTGTGGGTGTGCAATGTGCATACTTGTCCTCTGTGTCCCAGGAGCTCCAACCAGTACAGTCACTCTGGTCAGCTCGAGGTCAGCCTAGCCCACTGCCCTGGACTGGCTGGAAGCAGGTTTCCATTGCCCCAAGGAGGTGGCATGCCTGCTGTGTCCTGGCCCATCACCACCTTTCCTTCCCTCGCTAGCGCAGGGTGGGGAGCAGGCCCAGTAGGCCCTCACCCCCTGGGGCTGGAACCCAGTACGGCCAAGCCTTCCCCAGGTTTTGAGAACTGGAGGCTGGCCCAAACGGCTGGGACAGCAGAGTAGGCAGCAGTCAGGGGTCAGTACCATCCTGGTTGTATAGAAGCGGGGTGGTCCTCAAGGTCAAGGCTAGGACCAATCTAGAGAGGTTGGGTGAATAGACGGGTCAAGCACAGGATACCTGTCTCCTGGTGTCCTCACCTCTCTGTTCGTTCTCTCTGTCCTCATGAGCGTGTTGTCTGTGCTGCTCCTGGCATATTTATTTCTACTTTTGCCCCCTGTTTCCCTTCATCTCTTCTTTCTGACATGGCACAGTGGAAAGTATGTGATCTGAAACATCAGGCAGGCCTGGATTCAAATCTTCTACCACTTACTGGCTTTGTGATCTTGGGCAAGGCACTCAGCCTTTCTGAGCCTGTTTCATAATCAATACAATACTCACCGCCTGGACCTGCATAGGGATAAAGTATGTTAATGTCCTTACAAGGCTAATCTGTTATGTTGTTGGCCTCAGAGAAGGACGATCTTTCTTATACAGGGGGACTCTGAGATTCACACCCGGACCCTTTGACTCCAACTCTAGTGCTGTCTGCTTCATTGGGCTGCCTCCACTGTGTGCTCGAGAAGCAGGAGAACAGAGAGTAGGAGCCCACAGGTGGCTGGGAAAGGCCTGGCTGGCCTCAGCTGGCTCCAAGGAGCTGGTCCCTGTAGAGCCCTGTGTGGGGTCCAGCCCCTGCCACCCCCATGGCCCTTCAGAGTGGTGATGAGGCTGAGCCAGTGGCCTTCCTCTGGGGCCTGTGGGCCTGGGCCTATTTGCATGGGACTATAAATAGTCGGCACACCTTGCTTTTATGCCGTTTCTGTACTCCTTGGCCTTCCCACCAGTGTTCAGACACTCTGTGAGGTAGGTGGGTGAGTGGTACCACTGTGAAGAGGAGACTTGATGTGCAGGGGCCCAAGACCTCTCTCAGAGACACACGGTGATGGAAGAAGATGCCAATTCATGGTGTCTGCCTCCTTCCTGGGGTCCCAGCAGGAAGTGGTAGAATTTAGCAGGACCCGTGCTCTAGTTTTCGTCCTAGGACGTTGGGACTAAGTGACCTAACCCTAGGATTACTGCCGAGGAGCCCCAGGAGGTCTCCCTCCTTGTGGCACTGCGGCCTGGCAGTGCAGGTTTGGGGTCAGGGCCTGCTGTGGTTGTGGTTTTCCCTCCTGTGGCTTCTAGCTAACTGTGAGCAACAGCTGCTCTGAGTGTGACTGCAGAGAGCTGGAGGGCAGGCCTAATGGGCAGCCTGCAGGGCTGGGCTTTGCCTCCCGGTCCCCAGGCTTCTCTGACACCCCATGTGCCCCTCCTCCATGCAGACCCGGGACAGTCCCCATGGATGGCCACCGGGAGGCAGGGGAGGTCATGGCTGGGTCCCAAGGGGAGGCAGCGGGGAGGCAGAAGCTGCCGGCAGGTGTTTGGCAAACCCGCTGCTTCAGGATGAATAGCTCTTTGAGACTTGGTTGCCATATCTGAGAAGTGGGCTCAATTATTAGGACTGCTTCCTGGGCTCATGGGAAGGTGGAGTGGATGCCATGGGGAATGTGAGTGTACTTTGTAAACTGAGAAGGAATGTGCACAGGTGAGAGATGGGTGCTGCAAGCTAGAAGGGGTGAAAGCATCAAAAAGATCCCTCCCCAAGGCCTGTGGGGTTGATGTTGGCTCTCGTCCCTACACAAGTTATCATCATGACAACCCTGCACCAAGGGACCATTCCTCATCTGGAAGATGGAAGGGTGGGGCTGAGACTCAGAGAAGCCAAGTGCCCTGCATGGAGTCGCACAGCCAAGGCAGCATTGATATCAAGGTCTTGTACCGAGGCAGCTTCGCCATCATTTGGCCACATGGAGCTGCCCTGACCTACTCTCCCCCGGGAACCAAGCCCCTGCAGCACAACTACTCCTCTTTTGTCCCTGCCCACCTGCCCACTCACCCTCATTCTCTGAGATCCTCAGAAAGTCTGTCATTGACCCACCTGGGGGTCTCGAGGTTATCAGGAAGCATGAGTCTGAGCCATGTTTGCTGGGCTCAGGCCCTGGGAATGTAGACACAGACATGTGGCAAGTGTGTGCTGTGCAGCGCCCCGCCCCCCCCCCCAGTTTTTCTGGACCCCCAGGGGGCACTCACCTGGGTGCTGCACACCTTGGACACCCAGGCCAGGCAGGGCGGAAGGAGGGGCACGATGTCCTTTTTGCCTGGGAGTTTGGGACACTCACCCAGACTCCTACACCCGCTCCCAGCCAGGCCCATGCAGCTTACTCTTCACGTCAGCATTACCTGAGCGCCCACCACGCGCCGCCCACTCACACGTCCTTGCAGACACACATATCTCCACAGCTGTGCAGTCACACCTACATGCACCCTCACACACACCAACTCGCACACTCAGGCGTGCTCCGGCCCAGGGAGCAGCCAGCAGCAGCCCACAGCTGGCTCTCCCTCCCTTCTGCCGAGAGGTCATGGCGACTGGCCTGCTGGGTTCAGGCTGAAGGCTTTGGGGCCTGATCTCAGATGCAAGTTCGCACACCCACTCTCTTTCCCTCTGAGTAGGAGCCAGGCCTAGGCAGGGGACATGGTGGCGTCTGCCCCTCCCGACCCCTCCCGATCCCTCCCCTCTGCTCTGGCTGCTGGCCTCAGAGGACTAGCCAGGCCAATGGGCTGGGCTGCAGGCTGAGGTCAGTTTCCTGTGAGCTCATCTGGGCTGGGAGCTCCCAGCAGACCTGGTTGCTGCTCTGGCTGCCTTGTAGAGGAGCTGGGGGAGCCATCCCAGGGGAGGGTGGCTGCCGCCTGTGCTCTCGTGTGCATATGTAGGTCGGGGGGGGGGTGTCTGAGTCTGCTTCTCTGCCGGCCTATGTTCAGCATGGAGTACGAGTACATGTGTATGTGCAAGTACGTGAATGAGGGTTCATTCAACCAAGATTGTGGAGCACCCTTCTGTGTGGCGCCCAGACCTGGAGCCAGTGTTTGTGTGGGTGTATGAGTATGCAAGCGTGGGCTTACACATGTGCGCATCCTCCATGAATGGCAGCCCCAAAGACCCTCTGTGTCACTTCCTGTAGTGACCCTCCATGTGAGGAATGGGGGAATGGAGGACCAAACTGTGTGGTTTAAAAAAGCAAATTCACCATTACATTGAACATTAAAATAGTTTTATATTCGGAAAAAATTTTGTTTGAAAGTGCAGGCAACCTTCAGGGTAGGCGAGAGGCCCTTAACCCCAAGGGGCTCGGGTTCAGAAGGGTCAGGCACACTGATGGGGGTGGGGCCTTTCACTGCCCTGGCCTCCGAGTGAAGAGAGTGCTTCATTAGTGGAATCCCAGCGTTAGGCTCTGGCTCGACCTCAGGGTGTCCGTGGTCCTGTCTGAAACGTAGGGGTGGTCATCTTGGCCCTGCTTGTCTGCCTGGGTAGTTAGGAGCAAAAAATTGTGAAAACCAAGAAGGGCTGATGGGGCCAGGGTGTGGGGAGGCAGGGGCACTCCCCTGCCCATCTTGGCCAGCGCATGCTCGGTACCTGGCTCTTAGTAGGTATGCACAGCTCGGTATTAAAGGAGGCGTTGAATGACTCCTCACATGAATGGGGTCATGGACCCAAATGTCCACAGGGCCAGGTAGGTTTTGGAGAGGAGTGAAAAGGAGTCCTTGCCTGGAGTAGACTGGCAGGGGTGGCCGACCAAGGGGGTAGTGCCAGCCAGCTCTTGCCTGATGTCCCATTTTCTAGTTTTACCAGGGATGCCACAAATCTAGACTTACCTAAAACTTCTCAATTTTAACATTGGCAACTAGCACTAGTGCATTTTAAGAACCATGTGGGCCAAACTCTATGCTGTGAGAGCTTTGGGGGAGCAGATACCTGACCACCTCCCAGGGCTGTTCTGCTGGTCCTGCCCTGCTGCTTAGCCTCACCCTTTCTGTCTACACAACCCCACTGCAGGCTCCAACATGGCACCGTTCCTGCGCATTGCCTTCAACTCCTACGAGCTGGGCTCCCTGCAGGCCGCGGACGAGGCGAGCCAGCCCTTCTGTGCCGTGAAGATGAAGGAGGCGCTGAGCACAGGTAGGGCTGGAGGCTGGTCCCTGGAGGAGTGGCGTGAGCCAGTGCGCCTGGAAGTTTGGGCCCAGCGGGAGGCCCTGGCGGGGGCCAGGCCTTGTTCCCCCAGAACCACTGAGGGATCCCACTCTTCCTCATCTTCATGTCCCTGCCCATCCCAGCTGTGGATGCAGGACCGCAGAGGCCACCACGTGCCTATAGCGCCTCCTGCACTGGCAGCATGGAGCCCTCGCTAGAGCTCGGGGCTTCTGGCTCCTTCCGCATTGGTTGTTTCACCCAGCAGTTTCCACATCCGTCTGTGCCATGCCCTGTGCTGGGCACTTAGGACACCACTGTGTTCCAGGGCTGCCCTGGCCCTGCCTTCATGGGGCTCACAGTCAGGTGAGGGAGCCAGACGATGAGTCCTGTGATTGGGAAGCTGAGAGGAGGCACCGGCCCAGGCTGAGGTCAAGGATGTCTTCCTGGAAGAGGCAAACTTCTCACAGCATTCCTTCCTGCTTCTGCCCTCATTTGGTGAACCCTGACTCATCCTTTAGGTTTCAGCTGAGCTGTCCCTTCCTCCAGGAGCCTTCCCAACCCTTAAGTTGGGGCAGGCCCCCTGACATGGGTGGGTCTAGAACCATCAGCCTTGCCTGCTTCAGTTTCATTACAGCTATGGGAAGAACTGGTTCATGTCTCTACCTGGGACTCAAGCTTTAGGAGGGCAGACACCAGGTTCAGCTTTTCTTTCTGCCATGTCGCTTGCCTCCAGTACAGGGGGCTGGCATATGGGAGCTCTCAGCCGTGTTTACTGAGTGAATGCATAGGGCAGGGGACATCTAAGTGGGGCTAAAGGAAGAGGGTCACAGGAAGAGGGAACAGTAGGAGCAAAGGCCTGGAGGTGGGACCTGGCAAGTCGCCCAAGAGGAGCTGCCAGCAGTTCTGTGTTCCAGAGCATGCTGTGGTGAGATGAGGCTGGTGAGGTGAGCAGGGCACAGTCCTGCTGACTGAGGGGTAGAGACTCTGTCCTGAGGACACTAGGAAGCCACGGCGGGCCCTCAGGGGGAGAAAGAGCCAGGCAGATTCTATCAGGGCTGAAGGCTGTGGGAAGTCCGGGGAGGGAGCGGCACAGGGGCCCTTGCCTGATCTGGCCAGCTTGCCCCCTTTGCAGAGCGTGGGAAAACACTGGTGCAGAAGAAGCCCACCATGTACCCAGAGTGGAAGTCCACTTTTGATGCCCACATATACGAGGGCCGCGTCATCCAGATTGTGCTGATGCGGGCAGCCGAGGAGCCAGTGTCTGAGGTGACAGTGGGCGTGTCGGTGCTGGCCGAGCGCTGCAAGAAGAATAATGGCAAGGCCGAGTTCTGGGTGAGGGGCCTGCGGGCCGCGGTTGTGTGTGTGTGTGTGTGTGTGTGTGTGTGTGTGTGTGTGTGTGTGTGTGTGTGT